ACTCACCAATCAGATCATTAAAACACAGCCATCTGAAGCTCAGATGTTGGACTTCCCTGGAAAATCAGAAGTTTGTGTCAAACCTGTACAGAACCCACCGTGCTGGTGTGTGCTGGAGCACTTAGGAGAGACACACTCACTGGGTTTGACAAAACATTTCTGTTCACTAGAGTACATAAGGTGATGTTTGTAAATTTAAAATGTGCTTTACAATTGGAATGGAAGGGTCTTCCTTGCCATCCAAAGAGCTTAAAATTGCTGGGAAGTGTCAMCCAGCCCTGACTTAGAAGTATTAACAGTTATTAGCTTATTCATTCCAATTCCAGCCAGGGCTTGCAATATCAAGCACAAGCGGCCTTCCATTTAAGTAGAAATGAGGTATTTACATTCCTGATCCATGCAATTATCTGCATTTGCAGCAACAGAAGTGCTTTTCATACTTTTTTTCACAGCCTGGCTGGATGGGGCCTCTGAGCCACCTGGACTAATGAACTTTCATGGCAGGGCCAGGAATGAGATGAACTTTAAGGTCCCTTCCAACCCAATCCACTCTGGTGTTTTATGACTTAAAAGTCCAAAATACTACAAAAAACTTACACCCAGTGCCTACCACRGAAACATTATTTAGAGTGTTTAGGAAGCACCCTGCTTTTTGCAGCCCTAGAAGTAGCATAGCTTATGTTAAAATTTGTATTGAGCTCAAAAGAAAAAAGATCATCTTGCTCTTAAAGTGAAAGAAAGGACTAACCAGCCCCACTCTCTTCCAAGTGCTGCAAAACCAAAATGGTAAAAAACTATTTAAAAACTTTTCCAAAAATTGATAAAAATTTTGCTTTCAGATCAGCCATTTGAATCAAATGACACAGCAAACTGAGTAGAAGCCTCATTTTGAACATAACTGACATGCCTATACATGGGCTTTCTGAACAGACTGAGGTTAATAAATACATTGTTAATTGTTAGGGTTGAAGTTGTTAATTGTCTAGTTGAAGCGTAGACATATCAAAATGAAGAAAACACCTCTTCCTACACCAAAAATTCCTCTGTAGTTCTCAGACTCCATTAGTAGCTCTCCAAAGCACCCAACCATCTCCCCTCTGTATTGCCAAGTGCAGCATCTGTTCCTCCTAGCACTGCATTTCCAGACTAAATCCTTCTTTTTACCTCCCCTGTCACTTCCCACCAAAACCAGAGACCCATTTCAAGGCTCTCCCTTTCCCAGTCCCCTCTGRAGCTGGGCTTCACACCCCCACTACAGCAAGGTGACACCACAGACCCCTGAGCCACAGCAAAACTGCTCCTGAGCCACCACAGCACAGCAGCCTGAGGACCCCAGAGTCCGTACCTTCAAATGCCACACTGGAACAAGAAAATTTGGAAGCTGCTTCATGAAAAACCCCAAACCTCATGAAAGGAAAATTACTGGAGCAGTAATCTTGTCCATCACAGCTTGTGACAAAGAATTAAATCAAGTGTGGTCTTGAAAACATGGAAGCATCCAGGGCTGAGGAACCCTTTCCATCCACTCCTTCCAGTGGATCTCCTTTCTCCATTTCATTGTCTGATTCAAAGATTTCTTCCCCTCATGAAATCATATTTTGCAGACACAACTTAATCACAAACCCAAACAAGGGTTGCTATCTAGAAGCCTCCACATTGGCATTTTATATGTAGATCTTACAAGAATAAAGAAGTTTCCTCACTCGATGGTAGAGACCTCCGTGACACAAAACTGACTAGAACTACTCCCTTCTTAAATCAACACCCCCAGAAAGTCACCTGGAACCCAATCCAYCTTGGGAGAAGAATATTTAAGAACCACCACCAAACCAGTCTGAGCAAAATCATGTTTATTCCAAATCTTCAAAGGACCTCCTAAGCCTGTGGGTATTTCTCCTGGGTGCCCTCCCAGTGAACCACCTCCAGCTCCTGAGCTGCAGCTGAAGGATGTCACTAATGCAGGCTGAAGCCAGGATTAAAGCTGGCCACTCCAAAGCAGGGTAGGCACAACAGTTCAGTTTTGAAGCTGAACAGTCAATGCTCACAAGCGTTTCCAGGAACCAAAACCCACTCCAGCAGGATATGAAGGATCTATTTAGAGCATTAGTGACTCAAATGATATGTAAGATACACTGATATCCCTAGAAAAGCACAGGATTTGGGGAAGTTCAGCTGTGAAACACAACGGAGAGTGAAAACTCCAAGCAGAGGTAAAAGTAATGAGAAAATAAATAAAGCACTGCTGTTGGTGGGTGCGCCTTCACAGAACCAGCATTTACACTCAAAAGAAACCTTATGGCAAGAAATGGAATAGATGACATTAAAAGTGGAGCAAGAAATTAAGGTATTTCATCTCCAAAGCAAAACTRGGATCACTATCATTTACACTCCAACCATCCTTCCCATCAGATCTTACACAAGTCCTGCTCCTTTTTTGTGTTCTGGGCTGCCATGAACAGACCTCAAAAAGACAGGCCCAAGCACTGACATCATGCCTTTACAAGCCGCCAATCTTCCATATTCTCCGCTTGTGTTCATCTCCCGCAGCACRGCAGTGATGCTCAGAGCCTGAGATCATGTCACTTGGCAGGCATTAGAGATGCTGCAAGTTCCAGAAACTCCTGGCCACCCCTACTTGGATGTTACATGAAACTGTTGGAAGTGAGCATCGCTGCCCAGGTCACTTTGGGCTTTAGTCAGCCTCCCTGTTCCTGCAGCAGCRTCATCCTGGACATGGAGATCACAGACAGATGACTGGACCCACCAGCCAAATCCCTCAACTCWTTTGTTTCCTTTCTAGGGATTGAAAGGAAATGTGTCTACTTCAGTTGACATTCTTGCATCTTCCACCTCCTAGAAAGGCAACAGTGCATGCTGCATGTCGGGAAATTCCAGGGCTCCAAATCAGATTCACCACCTGCACCTCAACTGCTAGAAACCAATACCAACATTTAAGATTTGTTTGGCTGTAATGGGGGTACTATCTGGAAATCAAACCTTTAACCAGCTCCCAGCAATACGGCCAAACCACCAGAGTTTCCTTCAGCTCAGTTAACTTTAGCTCTTTTCCTTACACCAGGCAAACCTCAACAGGAATTGTGGGCAATGGCTAAAGGCTGTGCCAGCAGCAGCGCCACATTCATGAATTTCAGGGATCCCCAAAAGACACCCCTACACTAAAAACCCCACCAGCTTGAGTTTTTGAGGTTTCTCTATGGCTTGTGAATCTTTGCAGCATTCACTCCTTGACACTTCTCACCACTGCTCTTCTCCACACCTTCACAGAGTAAACYAGGTTTTATTACAGCTGCATAGAACCACTGCTCATGGGAAGAGCAGCATCCTCCAGCCATGTCCCTGTAACTCATGCATCCACCAAAAGCCAACAAATCCAGGAGCTTCCTAACCCCAACCAACTCCTCCCAGCTGGGGGCAGGGAGGGCTGTGACAATATCCACATGCACTGACCCCCACACCAAGCCAAGGAACAAGTTCCAGTCTGCCTCAACAGAGAAAGAATGAATCCTTTTGGGAAGAGAACAAAGGTAAGGCACCTGTCAGACACCACCCCCCTGACAAGCCAGTCTCTCACAAAGGTTTGTCAGCCATGCACCGTGACACAGTCCTGTACCCTCTGCATGTGTACACCAGTGACAGGTTCTCACACCAASCCCCGGGAACATCTGTAGCTGTGTTTGCTGCCTGCAGTCCCTGCACTAGAGCTCGCTGTGACATTTAAGGCCTTCAGGTTTTTAACCTTCATAATGAAACAGGGTTATAATAGTTGGAATGAATGTCAGTCATAACAGCCATCATTAGGATTGATACACAGGCTGAAAACTTTTGACCTATCCGCCTGTTTACTTTAGTTTTCAATYCAGTCCCTATTAATTATCCAATTAGTTTCCTTATGTAGGAATCATTCCAGATTTTTACTCAGCTCTGCTGTGAGCACCTTGGTGTAAGGCTTGGAAGAGGAAGCTGATAAAGACACACAAATATAAAAAAAACACTTTGTAGCTGCATRTAATTTTTARTAAGTCCAAATATTATCAAGGGTCAAGCTAAAAAGGCACCCCCTAATCCCCAGATGGAGGGGGAAATGAGCCAACTATCAGGACTAAATAAAATGGATTTAAGCTTCAGGACAAGTGTTTGAAAAGAGATTCAAGCATTTAAGCATTTAGGCAGATGTTCCAGTTTCTTTTCAGACAGAAAGTCTCCTTGTAGCTGTTGTTGACTCCCSGACCCAACAAGTCACTGTGCAATCAGTCTGCCAAGAGAGCAGGAGCTGCTCCCAGCTGTAGGAACAGACCTGGGACAGAGCCCAAGGGAGGAGCAGGGTCAGACACAGCACCAAGGGTACCGTGATTCCCAACTCCAGAGCATGATGGAGATAAGCAAGATGTTCAATTAGTGCTTCAAAAACCACTGGGAAAAGAATGCTTTATCTTATTGGTTTATTTTAATCACTTGAAGACATCCTTTCCTGGCCACTAGGCTGATATTCGGTTCCAAAAACACATTTTGCACTCCTAGTACTCTCCAACTTCATCTTTTAAATACCAGCAGAGCCTCTTATTGYCATTTTTAATATGCAGCAAGTTAAAATGAGATGTGCTCATTCACATGAGCAATTAAAGACAGCAATTCAGCAAAGTGAGGATTTCTCATTTCCYTCAGCCCAAGGAAGCCACTTGCCTGGATCAGTTCAGCACAAGGCAAATGCTCCAAGGAGCAGCATGAGCAGAGACCCCAAGCTGCCATTTCACATTCTGTGGCTGAAAAATGCTCACAGAATTGTATAATTTGTTTTATGACAGAGTTCTTGACCTGTATACCTCATGGAAAAAAGACTATGAAGTAACGTAAATGCTGGGGATACAAAATATTWAGGCTACCAAAATCAAACCCAAGACCGACTCCAACAGTAAAGGGATGGGAATCAGGTAAGTTCCGCTGAATTAGCRCCCAGAATGGATCCCATAATTAGTACTTACATAGATGAGCCCAGAGTAATAGCGATCCTTTAAATTATGCAATACAGAGGCTTCATTTAAACAGGTTAATTCTGCCATGTCTTCCACTTTAGAGAACTTGGGAGGATTCATCTTCTGAACATCATCTTTATTGACGAGTGCTTTCTTCCCATTCTCCGCCAGTTCGACCAACACCTCATCCCCTTTCTCCTCCTTGATGCTGGCTGCCTCGAAGCCATGGCGCTCCGAAGGGATCCACACCAACTTTTTAGCAGTCCAGTCAGCCTGGGTGGCAGGGTTGTAGATGACAGCCCTGTCCACGAAGAGGTAGCGCTCCGGATCCTCCTGTCCCAACCTCTGTGCCATCCCAGGAAGCGAAGGTGTCCAGTCCCAGTTGCCCTGTCAGGGGAGAGGGAAAAGCAAGGAGCRTGTTACACACCAGCCACACTCTGATCCATGCCAGGAGTGCAGTGTGGCACAGCAGTTAAATGACCCATCACCAATATCTTCTCCAGGAGAAGCAGCATCAGGCATTTGTCCTGGTCTGGAGAAGCTGCAGCACAACTGAGAGCCCCACTCACACACCTCAGCACAAACCAATGCCACACAAAAGTTCAGTGACCTGTCAGGTGCCACCCAAACCCAATGCAGGACAGACAGCAGGGACTCGTTCCAGCTGTGCAGCAGCAAGGGAGAGACATGAGAGCAAGAGCTGCAAGCAGGAAAAACACACACCTGTRTGCTGGGCTGAGATAAGGAAAGAGAGCAAATGGAGCAGAAGCTTGGCAGTAAACTCAGCTGCAATGGAACAGTGAAAAACAAAAATACACCGACAGATACAAACCCATAAATCTGCTCAGTGRATTCTGCTGCAGAAACCAGAAGGTGGCAAGGACATGTTTTAAAATCTGGATTTTCAGCTACAGACAAGAACTTGAGACACTTGAGGTTTCCGCAAGCCGTTAAGGCAGCTAAACCCTGCTCATATTCTTCCTGAAAATCTTTGCATTTCTACAGCCTGCTCCTTTTCTCAGTCCTGAGTGCTGACATCACCATATTCCAAAAAATGTCTCCAGCTCTCAAGTTTACCTCAAAGCTCAAAACACTGCAAGGACTGATGCTGGATTTTCCAACAGCTCCACGGGTAATTTAAAGCAGAAAGAAAAACTCTGGACTGACAAGAGCCCCTGAACACTCATTTTACCTGTCTGCCTCCATCCAAGAGAGGCCCCAGCCCCTTCTGTAGGCACTGCTGTCACAGCCAGGATCCATGGAGCTGGAGATCCCTCTGGAACTGCCCACGGAGCAGCAAGGTAAAACCTSACCTCTCATACTCAGGACTGTAAACATCTTGGTTTGTAACACACATTTTTCATGCTAAGAATGGTACATTGGCTATGGGAGCCTTTTCCAGCAGGTAACCCAAAGGTCAGCTTGGGAACGAAGCCAGGGAGGTTCCCAAACTTCATTTGCCACCTTTCCTACCATGGCACGTGCCCTGATGGAAGTTCCGCAACCCAACCCTCCTGAGAAGAGCACATAATTAAATGGATAATTGCATCTCCATCTAAGGCAAAGAAATTTGTTACATTTTCCAACTTTAGCGTAAAGCAAGCGTGAAGTCACTGAACCCTTCAGAGGTGCGAGGAGCAGATCCCTTAGCACAGATGGCTTAATTCAAATCAAGATACRATGACTCAACATTTAAAGTATTTTAGAAGAGCCTCTGAGAAAAAAAATTCCATGAACAAAGATAGAATCGCTGAGGGGACACCTTAAGTGATAGCTGGACTCCTCCACCAGGAAAATGAAGGTATTAGTCAATGAATGCTACATTTGGCTCTACAAGCCCACAGAYTAAATAAACCAGTTTTGAACCCCAAGTGAGAAAGGTGACTGTCCCCACTGTGCCAGACTCCAGCCCAAGTCCCAACAAAGCCCTAGAACCCCAGTGTCATCCTGGCGTGCCAATACCCTTCGGTGTCAGATCCTGGCTGCTCCCTGGGCAGATGTGACACAGCCAGAGGCAGCCAGGACTCCGTTTTTACACACCGAGAGGCAGTGAAACCTGAAGGTCAAATAAAGCTCATACGACAAAATTAGCCATTATTGTTCCCAAGCGGAATTAAAGGGTGAAGACTGAAATGAATGCAATCATATATGACTGCATACACCAGGCATATCCGAACGGTGTAACTGACTTTATAGCAGTTCCTGGGGATAAAGCTGAACATCGGGGGATCACCGGTACTTTCAGAGTCATTCTTGCACTCGGGCTCTCAATCCCACAAAGCCCATCACTAAAGACCCTCCKCAATAGCAAAGCAAGCTGCAGCTCACCCTACCCAGGGCTCCTCCGCTAACAATGGCATTCAAATGAAACACACAAATGAGCACATTTATCATGCAGGAATCCAGCACTCCCAACAGACGACGTGAGAATAAAGGCAAAAAAAATCCAAAAAACCCCCACACACGCTCTGAACAAAAGGGGGGCGGGGGGCACGGCGGGGCTGGGCCGGCGGGGCATCCCCCGGGCCAGGAGCGGCCCGAGCAGCGCCCCGGGGCCCCCGCCGTCCTGCCCCTCACCGRGCCCGAAGGACAAAGAGGCGGCCGCGGGCTCGGCCCGGAGGGGCCCTGAGCGACCGCAGCCCCGCGCCCCCCGCCCGGGGCCCGCGGGGAAGGCAGAAAATGGCCGAAAACGGCCCCCTCCTCTCACGGCCGGGGCCGGGACCGGCAGCGGGGGGGGGAGGGCGGCGCGGGCGGGCGGCCCAACAAGGGGGTCTTTGTGTGCCGGCCCCGCCGCCCCCGCCACACCCCCGCC